TTAAATAATTAAATAATTAAATAGTTTTATTTATTATATTTGAAATTATATTTTTTCAATTAATTTTGTTTTTTTTATAATTAATATATTAATAATAAGTAATATATTTTCTTATAAATAAATTTAAGAATTTATTTTATGTATTTTTCAATGCATTTTATTTGAATTAATGTAAAATATAATTAATATGTGATGATATTATAATTAATGTAAATAAATTTGTGTAATGATGAAATCCATTACATTCTTTTAAGTTTCATGAAATACGTGGAAATTTCCACGATTAATTATATTTATTTTTACAAATCTCGATATAAAAATATTTTTATTATTATTATTATTATTAATAAAAACTATGCAGATATATATTTTATAATATTTGTTTATAATTGTTGTTTTTTTTAACATATTTTGCATATACATAATATTTTTATAAAAGTAATTCCTCATAAAGAAAAATCATATTGAAATACAATTTAACAAATACAATTTGTACAATCTACTTAACAAATGTTAAAGTTTTAAATTTAACAACGAAGTGTAATACTTTGATTATGAAAGAAGAATGTGCAGAAAAACGTGATAATTTCTCACGTACATGTGCATAATTCTTATTACCTTTAGCAAAGTTCTATACATATAATGGAATGAATAATGATTAGTAAAGATTGAAGAAAACTTACACTCGTCTACACTGTCCGTCAAGCCTTGTTGCCAGTCCAAAGTCTCCGATCTTGACGATCATGCGGTCCGATAGGAACATGTTACCTGGCTTCAAATCCCGATGGACAACTTTCTGAGAGTGAATATATGCAACACCAGTTACCATTTGTTTCATGTAATATCGTGCTTCCGGCTCCGTGACTTTGCCACGGTACTTCAGCACGTGCATCAAACTCTGTCAAATAAAAGTGATACAACTTGAATTGGAAAGCATTAATGCAAAATAGATCGTGCAATGTATACAATGATATCTATGATATTTATTTCTTTGAATGTTTGGTCGTATTGAGCATTTGATTTAATATATTTTATTATGTATTTATAAATTTTGTTACAATTTGTGATATTTTATTTACAAATTTTATGATATATAATATGTAATGTATATTATAATTTATTTTACATTATTATATATGTATATAATATATAATTATAATATATAAGTATGTAATTTTATTAAGATATTATGTAAAAATATATTATAAATACTTTTAATAATATAAGTTTATTTTTTTTATATTTTTTGTTTGTGATATTTAATGTTGAAAAAAATATTGAAAAATTTAATAAAAAATAAATATTATTAATTAATTATATTAATAATTTTTCTTTGTTAAATTTTTTAAAATCAGAATATTATTTCAATTTTAAGTTTTAACTGTTTTATTTAATATTTTATTAATTCATTTAATTTTGATATATATGATATGAGTGTTAATATATTCAATGGAATTTAGTAAAACTTTATTACTAACACATTCAAGATCAAAAATCGAAAGTTCTTGGTGGTGGATATTGATTTTTGATAAATATAAAAAATAATTGTAAAACAAGAAAAAATGCAATGAAATTTAAAAAAAACTATGAAATAAGTATCATTAACGATGATATTTATACTAACACATAACTAAAAGAAAATATAAAAGAATATGTAAAAAACTCTTTTTCACTTTTCATATTTTCTAGAAAAATTTATGATGCGTCAATTGCCATAAAATAAGAAATCCCTATGACGCATATGTTGCGTCACTGATGTCAAATATGTTATATATGTTGAGTTATAAGTTATAAATAATTTAAATTTTTATTATTTTTTTTTCCTTCTTTCTTTCTTTCTTTCTTTTTTCTTTCTTCCTTTCTTTTCTTCTTCGATTCGTAAAATATTTAAGTTTCAAAATCAAGTATTATATAATTGAAGAAAATAATTACGAATGAATATAGTATTAATATTAAATATAAAAAAAAAATTTTAATTGATCTATGATGATTATTATTATAATTATAGTAAATAAAAATGATGAAACTGTATTTTATAAAAATATGGTTAATTAGAAATACATATATGAAATTGATTCTAATCAACAATTCGAGAAACAAAAAAGACAAAATATATGATTTTATGTTTAATGATGCATAGAAGGTATAAATTTATTTAAAAGGTAACTTCAAAAAAAGAAGAAGATTCTCTTCTTAGAGATAACTTTAAGAATTTATAGCGCATCGCTACTTTGTTTGGAAGAAAATGTCCTTCCATTTAAGGATAATTGTTATTTTAAGATTCGCAAATGTTATTTTATCATTTTTGGAAAAAAATAATGATAATTTATTATAATCTTGAAAGACAAGAAGAAAAACAAATTTGAAATTTAATAAATTTTATTATTAACACGAAAATCAAATATCGAAATACTATATATAATGTGCTAAAAAATGATGGAAATGTAAAATGTAAATTTGCTAAAGATCCTGCATATATTATTAATTTTTATTTATTTGTATAATTATAAATATGACAATAATATTATGCTGACTTATATGAATATAATAAATATATGAATCAATGTTCAATTTTTCAAGTTACTTTAACAACAAATCCGTAACATTTTTATCGCTAAATTGTTTCTGAGTGGATGACGAAGTGATTGTTAGTAACAGTTAATAACAAATATATAAATACAATGATTGTTAGTTAATAATTTTAGAAACTAAGAATAATCGAATGATGACGAACCAGCATTCTAACGGTAAAAACAAGTGAATGATTAGTCATGGAGAGTGCAAGTACTCGTTCTCTTTTCTATTCACGCAAAAATGCGGTGTCCATAATTTCATCCAATGCATATCAACGATTTACGTTAAGATGTGAAATATGTTACTACTGTCGACAAAAAATTCATGGAATGTTTTTTGTTTCTCAAACTGAAAATATTGCAGCTATTTCTATCTGATTTATCATTCTTTTGCAACGACAATTTTAATGAATGGTTATTTCTAATCCACACACAATGAAAAAGGATGTTACAATTTTTTAAAAAAGTATTTTAAAAATATATTATATATGATATTATAATTTCAATGATTTCCAAAATAATTTTTTAATTTTAATTTTTAAGTTTTAATGTAATATTTTCAGATTAATTTTAATGCAAAATTGAAAAATTGAAAAATCATATCATATTTATTCTTACGTTATTTTGAAACACTAGAGAATACCTTAAAGAAGTAAAGCAGGATTACTATAATTCTTTTCTAAAAAGTTTTTTCTAAAAATTAACTTGAAATATTTAAAAATAAATTAATTGTAGAACTAATATTAAATAATTTTATTAAATAATTCTTCACGAAATATTCAAAACTCAAATTATTTAACTTTGGTTAAAAATTAATAATATTCTTTCATATTTTTCTGCAACTTAAATAATTTTTTTTTAATGACAGAAGAACACGATTATATAAAAAATAAACGTGTTAATAGAATAAAGATTTTTCTAAAATTTTCAAAAGAAGAAAATAATTTTGAATGAAAATAGAAGCTCGAAGAAAAAAGCGATTAATCTCTCTTAAAAGCAGATCATAAATTCTTACAACCTCTTGAACATAATTTGAAAATATTCAATGAATCTGGTGGTAATCTCTCCGAGCAAATTCTTTGGAAAAGCGAGACTTTATCCAATAGGTAAGCGAACTCCTCTCATCCTTCGAATACAACGGAGTTTAACTCGAAAGGAGAAGGTTAGGAAATTCTTGCGAATATATAGAGGGAATGCGTAGAAAACTGTGCGAGCAGGTAGGTACGAGACACACGATACCTTTCGAGGACAGGCTTCCAGAAGCATGTATACGTTAATATTATCCTCGAAGTAGTGATGCAGCTGGACAACATTCACGTGATTCAGTTCTTTGTGAATCATAATCTCACGTGCGATCTATAAGAAATACATAAGTCATTATTACACCGAATAATTTTCTGTCCACCTGAAAAATTTCAAACAATTATTTTCTATAATGCTGCGATTTAGCTGTTTTAAAATGGGAAATATTTCTAATCATTCGTTCGCTCTATTTTTTTCTTAATTCTAGAAAGAAAGAGCTAAAAACTGTTACGCAATTATAAGTGAGAAGTTGAGACCATTATATATAAGTATAGTTGTATATATTCATATACATATATTAGAATTAAAATTGCATGATTATTTTCTATGAACAAATAATTTGTCTGTTTAATTTTATATGTAAATTTTCTTAAAATTTTTGGTATATAAAAGACTTGAAATTTTACTTTTTGGCTCAATTTTTTTGGCTTTTTAATTTTTTGTTTTATTGCATTATCAAGTATAATATTTTTTTCTTTTTTTTTTTTTATATGATGAATTTATTGATGTGTTAAATATATAAAGTAATATTCATTTATGATTTTATTGGAAAAAAGTAAAATAATCATTTTCTGTGATTCAAATTTAGTTCAAATTTTTTCATTTATTTATTTTTATACATATTGTAAGAAATATTATTATTTGTTGAAAACTAAAATTGAATTATTGTTTAAAATTACTGAATAAAAATTGATAAAATAAAAATAATAATTTTTAAATGATTTGCATCTTCAAAAATTTTTTGATTCAAATTTAGATCTTAATTTAAATATTTTATAATTATCTTATTTATAAGATAATTTTTGTTCACTATTAAGTTAATGATAATAAAGAACTTCATTTTTATATATTTATATTTTAGTTCTAAAAATATTTAAATATATAAATAATTTAAAGATAAATAATTTTATGTAA